GATTTTTTGGTTACAGTATGAATTATTTAAGAGAATCTTTGTTTTAAATTTTTAACTCTTAGTTATAAATACTGAACATTTTATAATTTTTTAATTCCAACGATTGATTATTTTCGAGATTTTGATAAATTTTGTCAAAATTCCAACTTTAAATGCTTATAAAAAAAAATCGTGCGTATGTATTTTTAAAATTTTTCAACTGATATTGTAACAATATATAAGAAAGCTTGTATTCAATTTTCAGACTTTTTGGCCCACCAAATAAAATTTTATTGACAATTATAAAAAAAAAAACTACAAAAATTGAAAACTGAAAATGTCCGTAAACAGCTCAAAAAGAGTCAAAATATTTTCAAATTTGTATGGTGTATAGGAAATGCTAATATAAATATTCAGTGAAATTTTCATATATCTATAGTTATTCGTTTATGAATTACAACAATATAAGGAAATCGCTACATGAGAAATCGAGTGAACATCCAATGTTGTAAAAATTTGAATTTCAAACGCTCATAAAAATTTAATTTGACTGTCCGGTAGAGTTTTTTTTATTGATAAAGGTAGACAAACTTATGAGTAATCTTGTATTACATTTTCAAATCTTAGATTTAAAAAGAAAAATTTTTGCGAATTCTTAACTCAAAATAATTTGCTAATTTTCGTGATTTTTCCATATTTTGTCAATTTTTGAACTTTAAATGCTTATAAAAAAAAAAATGTGACTAACGATTTTTAATATTTTTCATCTTCCTTTGAAACAATATACTAGGAGACTTCTATTAAATTTTCAAGTTTTTTTAACCAACAAATAAAATTTTATTGATATTTCTAGAAAAATAACTAAAAAAAAATGAAAAATGAAAATGGCCCTAAACAGTTCAAAATAAATCAAAATATTTTGAAAATGTTATCGTGTATAGAAAATGCAAATATAAACAACCAGTGAAAATTTCATGTATCTACGGTCATTTGTTTTAAAATTACACCAAAAACCAAATTCGATTTTTTGGAAAATCGATTTTGCGTAAAAATTCCCGTTTTTCCTTAATTTTTATGTTGTTTTTCCCGGCGCTTGTGAAAACTACTGGAAAATGTTTACTTTTGACCCCCCAAAGTACCAACTAGATTCACTTTCCTATCAGAAAAGGTACTATTGAAGAAAATCGAAGCACTTTTACTGTCCCAAAACGTGATGACAGACACAAAAAAAAATATAAAAATATAAAAATATAAAAATATAAAAAAAACACACATCATTGTAAAACCAATACATTCATCGCTCCGCTCAGAATCTAAAATTTCCCAGTAGTTTTCACAAGCGCCGGTAAAAACAACATAAAAATTAAGGGGCCTGCACGCGACCTGTTTTTTTGCTCAAAAACATGCCTTACAGGAAAAACTCTCACGCCTCGTAGATTGGTCCAATTTCCGTAATTTTTTTTTTGTTAGATAGAAGACTTCTTACAGGGCGCATTGGACTTGGATTTTAAAAATTATTTTTCTAAGTCTGATGTTACAAGTTTGAATTTAATCAATTTTTACAACTTTTTAGTTTTTGTATTATTTGTTGTTTTTAGCGACGTAATCAAAAATCGAAGTCCAATGCGCCCTGTAAAAAATATTCCTCTATCTAACAAAAAAAAAATTACGGAAATCGGACCAATCTACGAGGTGTGAGAGTTTTTCCTGTAAACTGTGTTTTGACCGATATAATACACCCTATCAACCCCCCCTAAATAGGTATTGGGTAGTAGATTAGTGGAAAAGTCTTATAATTGAGGTGGCAACTAAAATATAAAATTTAATTTTCAAATTTTATAGAATTGCGGAAAATTTTAAAAATCGCGAGCAGGCCCCTTAAGGAAAAACGGGAATTTTCAAGCAAAATCGCTTTCCAAAAAATCGATTTTGGTTTTTGGTGTAACTCTAAAACAAATCAAATCAATTTATTTTGAACTGTTTAGGGCCATTTTCATTTTTCATTTTTTTTTAGTTATTTTTCTAGAAATATCAATAAAATTTTATTTGTTGGTTAAAAAAACTTGAAAATTTAATAGAAGTCTCCTAGTATATTGTTTCAAAGGAAGATGAAAAATATTAAAAATCGTTAGTCACATTTTTTTTTTTATAAGCATTTAAAGTTCAAAAATTGACAAAATATGGAAAAATCACGAATATTAGCAAATTATTTTGAGTTAAGAACTCGTAAAAATTTTTCTTTTTAAATCTAAGATATGAAAATGTAACACAAGATTTCTTATAAGATTATCTACCTTTATCAAAAAAAAAATGTCTATAAGAAAGTCAAATTAAATTTTTATGAGTGTTTGAAATTCAAATTTTTACAACATTGGATATTCACTCGATTTCTCATGTAGCGATTTCCTTATTTTGTTGCAATTCAAAAACTGTAAATACATGAAAATTTCACTGAGTGTTTATATTAGCATTTACTATACACCATACAATTTTGAAAATATTTTGACTCTTTTTGAGCTGTTATCGGACATTTACAGCTTTCATTTTTTTTTAGTTTTTTTTTCTATAAATATCAATAAAGTTTTATCTGTTGGGCCAAAAAGTGTAAAAATTTAATACAAGGCTCCTGATATATTGTTACAATATCAGTTGAAAAATATTAAAAATACATAGGCACAATTTTTTTTATAAGCATTTAAAGATTGAATTTTGACAAAATTTAAGTTAATTCTGTTACCAAAAAGTCTAAAAAATACAGAAGCACAGTTTATTTTTATAGTCATTTTAAGTTCAAATTTGGACGAAATTACATAAAAAAAAACCTAGAATAACTATTTTAGTTATTTTGTTGTGACTGTGTTGTATATTATTCGTGGGTACTTGAAACTTCTAAAGTACACTATTATATATCTTTGGAGTAAGACTATGATAGTATTATTGTTTGTTGTTGATGTATAACGCGTTATAAGTAACTAATGGATATTGTAAGTATATAATATATATGTCTTATACCTAGACTGACATACCGTCTCCGCTCAGAATCGTTTTTCTTATACAATGATATTATATCATTGAATTCAAATTTAATACTATCCATTATACAGTGACCACTTGTAACCTACTGTACAGCAGAGCACCTTTTTTGAGATGTTGACCATTCATATTGTAGAAATATAAATTACACTTAAGTAAACGTGGCGTGTGAAGAAAATTATTATTGAATTAACCAATAGTGTTACCTAATTAACATAATATAGTTATAGTTGTCTATCATAAAGTACTGTTTAGACTTATACTATATATTAATAGGTAATATAAAATATTATATTATTATATACTCATCAATAAAGATTGACTACCTGTTTTACATAATTAAACATATTATAAATTATTATATTTGTATAAAGCCATAAAGGTATATCAATTATATAATATATTAATGTATTTTAATTAGTTATTACTTATTATATTAGAAATATAAATGTTTTTTGTTGTTGAATGCGAGGGACCAACAGTATCTCAATTTACACAATCGATATATCTTAATATGTTATTAATAATACACGATACCTAGTAGTAGTGGATCAAAGGAATCATGCATGGTTTTAAAAATAAGGGAGGGATCTCATCCGGCCCTCTGCCCGATTTATTATTAAGAGTATTCAGAATATCTTCAATTTCACATTCTGAAATGTGCCAAGTATTTAGAATAAGATTTATATTATTTAGAATTGGAAAATCGTTTGAATTTATGTTAAAATTATCAATATAATAAGCCGAGGAAAATTATTTGCAAAAAGTTTCGTAGAATCCGAAATATTATCTGACGTAACATATATTATCTAGAAAGACAGTTGTAGGAATATTAGATTTTTTCAATTTTAATGACTGAATATATTTCCAAAATGATTTCATGTTCTTATTTATGTTGTTTTCGATTTTAACAATATAATTTGAATGGGCTATTTGTGACAGATTTTTACATTTTCTACGGAGTTCAGAAAAAATTGAATAATCGTTTTGAGAGTTTGTTAATTTAAATTTTTTATGTGCTATATTTTTTAAATTTATACAATTTCTTAGAAAATGATTCGACCAGGAAACGTTATGTTTAAAATTATGATATAATTCAACATAATGCATATATTTTCCAAAAAACGCAAAGAATTATCCCTCTACTATAGTCGTGTTAAACTGTTAAAGTAGGGCACTATGGATACTAGGTATGCTAAGCTAGTAAGCTGCCATATTGTGACTAATAATGTTATGTGAATATGAATTTTCCCCCCTTTATTTTATCATTTCATCATTGACAAATGAGTCGCAAAATTGTGGCATAGCATACCCATTACCCATTATAGGCATGTAGTTAAAGAAGCAACCGTAGCGTACGCAGCGCAGCCTGTGGCCGATTGATCTTGTCACTCATTTCGGGAAGTTACAGAAGCGGAGTTTGGTCTCCTTCTAGTCTTCATGGTGTATCTAATCATACAAATTAATACCCACAGAGACTAGGTATATCGCAGTGAGACGTTTGTAGTAGATATTAGTAACTAGTAAACGACGTATAAAGGATTTGATTTCGGCATGGAGGGGGGTTGTAGTAATTATGAGTCGGGATTCCTGACAGTATAATTATTGTTAATTAATAATAATAATTCTATACACATAGGTTTTAGTTTCAGGAAGGGGGGGATAACCTCCGTCTTAAAAGACCGTGTCTAGAATATTTGATTGAACATTCTATGGTAATTAACGAAGCGTTATAAAATCGGGCCTCGTGGAATAGGTCAGAAAAAAAAGTTTTAGCCATAAAAAACTAACCGGAAAACATATTTATGTTAAAAAAAGTGTGTAAAACTGAGAATCTAAAACATAACGCGTTTGTACGGAATGAAAACATAATAATATTATACTTTTATAAAAATATTGGGTATTAATATACGTCATAACGTAATTCAATTATTGTGTTCCCGAGGGACGCCATTCGTGTGGTTGTGTGCGGTGAATACAATCCTGGGTCACTGGGACAACTGACAGAGGAGAGCGACGCCCCTCATGGTCCAGTGTTCGGGTGGTCTGTCGATGGGCACTGACACGGCAATCACGAAGTTGGTGGAATGTCCGGTGGTGGACAGCGTGCCCCTCCGCTCGGCCGTCTTGTACATCGGACACAGGTATGCTGTGCCGGGTGGCGCCACGGACCTCATCGCAGGCAGCAAGTGGATCAACGGCATGGCGCAGAACAATTGTTTCGGTTTCGATTCTTTTAACACGGCCTTCCGGTCGCTCCATCGGGCCCCATCCAAGTACAGACCGTACACGTAAACTCCGTCAACGGGTTCGACGTCCGTCGCCGCCGATTTTTTTAATATCTGTGCCATTATAATAATGTGTTGTTATCATTATTCGCTATCCATTCGCATCTATTTTAATATGCTATTATTCGTGGGAGGAGGGCAGGAGGCAATATGTGAATGCGATTCTCACCCCTCGGAAGTTGAGCATAGGTTTTTTTTCTATAACTATTATAACGATAATATAATTTGCAAAATATTTAATGATCCAACCTCTACATTTACTCCGGGTCGAGTTTCATAATATCCACCAACGCGGTAGAAATCTTCGAATGGCAGAAATTATGCAATATAATATACCTATAATAGTAATATTAGATTATAATGTAACTGCTATGATTGACCAAACATTTTTTTGACCTAACCAGAATTAATTTTTTTATTTCGTAAGATTACGTTTGTTTCATTATCCATTTAGGTTCTATGCTTTAGTCATGCAGACTATTTTTCTTTATCACCTATTTTATTGCACTGTTTTTAACTTTAGCTATCTTTAAAAAATGTAAATTGTATAGGCTATATGATACTCTATGTACAATAATACTGTATAGTCCCCCGGGTAGTGATTATTTTAAAAATGTTTGAGGTTATATTATTAAAGACTGTAGCACTCAATTGAAAATTTCTCAATTTCCCCTAGCGTACCGATCAACGTTATATATATATAAATTCAGACGTCCAATACAAAATAATATATTTTATCAATACATTTTGAATTCTGCTCGTCATATAATATAGATAAAATAGGCACCTCCTTGATGTATTTTGTAATTATTGTCGTTTTCTTATAACGGTATTTCTACTTTTTTCGCTGTGGTAAATATATAGGTACATATATTGTTTCTAATCATAAATTTATTGATAATCTACTTTCCAATAATTTTTTAGTGAACGTGTTATTTTAGATTCTGAGTGAACGATGAATGTGTTTTTTTTTTTTTTTTTGTGTCTGTGTACACGATAAGTAGTCGAAATAATGCTTCGATTTTCAACTTCAGTATCTTGTTCGATTGGAAAGTGAATATCGTTGGTGCATTGGGGAGGTCAAAATTTAAATTTCCCAGTAGTTTTCAAAAGCGCCGGGAAAAACAAAATAAAAATTAAGGAAAAAAGGGAATTTTTACGCAAAATTGGTTTTCCGAAAAATCGATTTTGGTTTTTGGTGTAACTTTAAAACAAATAACCGTAGATACATGAAATTTTCAGTGGTTGTTTATATTTGTATTTACTATACACGATAACATTTTTAAAATATTTTGATTTATATTGAACTGTTTAGGGACATTTTCAGTTTCCAATTTTATTAGTTTTTTTTTTTATGAATATCAATAAAAATTTATTTGTTGAGTAAAAATACTTGAAAATTTAATACAAGGCTCCTACTATATTGTTTCAAAGACAGATGAAAAATATTAAAAATCGTTAGTCACAGTTTTTTTTTTTAAGCATTTAAAGTTCAAAAAATGACAAAATATGGAAAAATCACGAAAATTATTCTTCAAAATTATCCTTATTTTGTTGTAATTCATAAACGAATAACTATAGATATATGAAAATTTCACTGAATATTTATATTAGCATTTCCTATACACCATACAAATTTGAAAATATTTTGACTCTTTTTGAGCCGTTTACGGACATTTTCAGTTTTCAATTTTTTTAGTTTTTTTTTTCTATAAATATTAATAAAGTTTTATCTGTTGGGCCAAAAAGTGTGAAAAATTAATACAAGGCTCCTGATATATTGTTACAATATTAATTGAAAAATATTAAAAATACATAGGCACAATTTTTTTTTATAAGCATTTAAAGATCGCATTTTGACAAAATTTATCAAAATCTCGAAAATTATCAATCATCGTAATTAATAAATTATAAAATGTTCAGTTTTTATAGCTAAGGATTGAAAATTTAAAAAAAAAGATTCTCATTAATAGTTCATACTGTAACCAAAAAATTTAAAAAATATATGAGCACAGTTATTTTTTACAGACATTTTAAGTTCAAATTTGGACATTCAAAAAATACATAATCAAAAACCTAGCATACCTATTTTAGTTATTTTGTTGTGAGTGTATAATACTATTCGTGGGTACTTGAAACTTCTAAAGTACACTATATTATATATCTATGATAGTATCAGGGTTTGTTATTGATGTATAACGTGTTATAAGTACCTAATGGATATTGTGATATGATTAATTTGGAATTTATTTTAAGTCAATTTTTTTTTTAATACCATAGATATGTATATAATATGTCTTAAACCTAGACTGACATACCGTCTTCGCTCAGATCTCTCAGAATCGTTTTTCTTATACAATGATATTGTATCATTGGATTCAAATTTAATACCATCTATTATACAGTGACCCACTTGTAACCTACTGTACAGCAGAGCGACATCCACTTACCCACCTTTTTTTTTTTATACTTAATGTTGTCGAATTAGCTTATTATTCAGTACAAAATATTTAATTAAATCTTATAACCATCCTAAGAAAAGAATTTACTTATACAAATATTTATGCTTTTGAAAATAATAAAACATTAGTAGTAGATATATTATTATGTATAGATTTATAGGTTCCGATTTATTTTTGTTAGTTTGTAACATATATAGCTTTATTTTTATAAAAGTTCTTCAAAATGTACTGCATTTATGCAGAAAAAAAGACTACAAGTTGACAGTTCTAAAATATTATCTAGAATGTAATGTAGGATAATAAGATGACATACTTTATAATCAAATGTTAGTAAATCAATCGGTATCTTATACTTTCTGGCAAAGTTCTGTTGAGTTCCAGTCAAAAAAGCTTGAGTGAAATAAAATCCAGACAACCAGAACAATTTTGGAGCATCGTTATCGTACCATTTCTAAATATTACAATGAATAATTTATTATTACCAATATGAACAAGTAACAACTATAATGTGCTATTTATGATTCATATTTTATAATATTGTGTCAAGTATTATTCTCTAGATAGTGGCTGTAAATTAAGTATTAGAAATTTAGACACTGTACCTATTGTCCAGTCAAATTAGGAAAAAAAATTGAAACTAATTCCTCGAAAACTTACTTATTCGAAAAAATGAAGACCTGATTATTTTACATAAGATTCCGATTTTTATATTTTTTTTATATACATTACCGTAGTCTAAAAATTGTTTGATGTTTGTGGCTGTGCGCTATAGTTTTTACTTATTTGCGATACTAGAATATTTAATAGTCCAGTCAAATTAGATCAAAAATCGAAAATAATTTGCCCCCAAATGAATTTTGGTACACACTTAAATGTACCTTCCTAATCAACATACTAAGTCTTGACGCCTAACCCCTGTGCGTATCTCTCCACTCCCCAAAAATGGGGGAAATCTACCCTCACACTATTTTTCTTATAATTCGTTAACCGTTTAACTCACGAGAAAAAAGTAAAGGATAAAAAACAAAGACCGTGAAATTTACTATAGGAATATAATATTTTATTCACTTAAACTTTAATGTGGTAGTTTAAGTAAACTTTTAAAACTGAATATTTTTTTAAAATTTTTTTTAGCAAAAAATGTATAGTTTTACACCAAAATAACCTATTAGAAAAAATTATATCTCTTTATTTTTACATAATATAATTTTTTTTTATATATTCATGACCATAAGTTGTAAGGTTGTTGTTGTTTAAGACGCGGCGGTGTTATATCTATACCCTGTGTAGGTTTAATTATATCAAATTATAATATTTTAAATTGTTTAAACGTAGATTATAGTTAATAGACATATTAGGAGTAATATTTTAGATTGGTCGGAGCTTTTTTTCTTTGTTTTGAATTAACTATTTTACGAAATTGGCTTTCGACTGATTTATTGATAAGAAATCAGATTTATATAATATGAAAGCTAATAATCTAACTTGCAAAAACGCCATTCTCTGTAAGAAATCTTTAACATAACTCCCCAGTGGTTTTAAAGACGGATAGGAATTTCTTGCCCAAGCTGTCGGAATTTTTCCATTTATGATACTCTGACAAAGTTCTTCCAGTTCATTAGATATTAATATTAGACCTAATAAAAAAAATTACACACATATTAGTATTCATGTAGTTTTAGAGTCAAAACGTTGATTGTATTTTGTGTTGTTTCAAGAACCAATTTTTTATGCGTCTAGTGTGTTTACAGAAATATTGATACAAGTAGATAAGTAGATTATTATATTTTATCTTGTTTAATAAAGAAGACTACGTAGGTATATAAACATTATGGTTTAGTGAATATCATAAGTAATGATCAACAGATCATTGTAGAATATACAACAATAACAATTTAATAGTTAAATATTTTCAGTAGGTACCAATAATTTGTTACACACTTTTATTTAATCAACGGCATGACATACCTTTGATAGCTTTTTGGACATTAATTAGACTTGATGTTATTACATTCAAAAGATTATTGAACCGTCCCATTTCTTGAACCAAAACTGTGTTCATAGACTGACTGTAGGTAGTAGGATATTTTTCTAATGCAAGAACTGTGTCAAAAGGAATCGGAAGTTTATTTAGAACATCTACAGCAAATGTAATGATAAGTTCTTCTGACGATACTCCTTTTCCTTCCTTTGAACTTTCCATATTCTATATTTTGTATGCGTTTAACAAATATAATAAACCATACAAGTATAATCATTGTCATGTATAATAATGAATGATTAAATATATGCGAAATTTATACGTCATTATCTTTATAACAATATTCTGAATCAGAATTAGAGTAAATGGAATATTAAAAAAAAAAAATTATCGATTTAACAATTGAAAATCCCAATAATCATAACTGCAAATAATATTAAAGGATTAGATATACTTTAGTAAATGGTTTTATTTTTCTTACAAAATATATATCAATAAAATGTTATAACTTATATTTTATCAGTAGAATAAGAATGAGAATAAAATTGTTATGACTGAGATAATCCTTTATATATATTTTATTTGTACCACTTTGAACACTATGTGTTATAAACTATAGAGATAGAAAATCTGGTATTAAACCGGGTACTGAGTACTGACTACTGGCCGAGTAAAATTTTTTATACTAACCGGGTATCGAGTATAGGTTAAGTTGAAATGTAAATACAAAATGGGTGTTATACTACTATCAAAGTACCAAGTATTAACTATAAATATTAGACAGTAAACACGAGACTTATTTTTGTAATTCGTAGAAGAAAAACATGATTTGTTTATAATCAACTGGCTATTGTAAATCGGTTCAGTTATTCCAATATGTACCAAAAATAAATTATAATTTATTACCCTAGAATTTTAGATTTTTTTTTGTTATATTAATTATATGTACCTATGCGTATATTTATAAATAGATTATCAGCGTTTGCCATTGGATATGAGCCAAGTAAAAATGTAGCATTTCGCAGGGTACCGAGTAAGGGTACCCGGCGATGTATTTATAACCTATACCTATCACCTATGTACAATTTCAAATTTAAGTATATTATTACAAATTTATTAACAACCCGTTATTATGATGGTTTGAAAAATATTTTTCTGATAATTTTTTTATGGTATGATCAATATTCAATGGTCGTGTATTACAACGTTGTGGACACTATTGGTGTACGATGTACATACCTGAGTACTAAGCACAGAAGTAAGAAGAATGTCAGATTCTTGTTGTTCTTTAATGAGATCTGCATTCTCGTTCATACCAAATATGCTAGGTCGAGTGATTGAAGGTAGATCTTGAATGTACTCCACGAAATGATCGTATTGTTTCCAATTTGGGCAATAGTAAGTTCCTAATTACGTATGATAATTAGTTGAGCCAAACACGTGAAATAAATCTATTACCCAATATTCTTAAATTTACCAGATTTATCAAATCTATAATTTTTATATTTGACAATTTCTTGCGTATAGAATTTGTTTAGAAACGTAATTAGACACCTTCGGTCCCAGTCGTCGGTTACACGGCCACCGTAGTTGCATTCACCAGTCAAATAACGCAAAGCTTCAAATTGAATCTTTGAATACTCGTTCAAGAAGTTTTGTAACTGAACGACACTAATTCTGAGGTCAGTCTCGTTGAATTCGTATGGCCGATTCCATCCGATTGGACCAAAATGACGCCGCTCTTGTATAAGGGCATGGAAGAAACAAAGCCCAAAAAGCATCTTTTTGAAATTACTGCCTTGTTTACAGCCTTCAAAGAATTCTTCATTTACAATCGGATCACTTGTAAACGATCTACGCCGAAAGATAGATAGTCAATTATGATGTTTCTTAGATCAATATAATAATATATAAATACCTGTAAAGGTTGGCTCGAAGTCCTTTTGGTGGTTCATTTGTAATTTTTATACTATTTTGTAAAACTGATACAGGAAAGTACTCCACAGGATAGGATGTCAACCAAAGTCTAAACTCGGGATGAGTGTGCTCAGCAGTGAAGCTTTCGCATATCTAGTAAAATAGACAACTGCTAAAATTTATCAGTTCAAATAAATATATTTCATCTTTTATTTTATTTGAAAAGTTAATAAATAATAAGTCAAGAAGACAAATTTCCGATGTTTTTTTTATCGAACCATTGATTGCTGGTAGTATCGATGATTTTTTAGCTTTGAATAGAACTGACTTTAGGGTCTCTCACGCTACGGTCAGGTCCTTAATATAAATTTAAACCTAACTACTCCATCTTACTATCTAAGACTTAATCGTGTCTTTCAAAAATGAGGTGTAAGTGAGGATTCTATAGTGGGGGGGAGGGGTACCTGGTCGCTTCACCGGATACGCCAAGGTAATCCGGTTAAATTATTATTAGTTATTTAATATTTTCCTATTTATATTTGAATTTTGAACATATATTATTAATAAATAAATAATATGTATAATTTAAATTTTTTTTAATACATAGATTTTTATATAATATGTCTTATACTTTAGACTGACATACCGTCTCCGCTCAGAATCGTTTTTCTTATACAATGCTATTTTATCATTGAATTCAAATTTAATACCATCCATTATATAGTGACCCACTTGTAACCTACAGTACAGCAGAGCGACATCCACTTACCCACCTTTTTTACTTTTAACTCCCAAACTACCAACTAAATGCAATTTTCTACCAGAAACCATCCTTAAGATTGAAAATTGAAGTGTTTTATTTTTACAGTAAAAGGGCGATGATAGACAGAAAAAAACACACATGGCGTTGTAAAATAAATCCATTCATTACTCTACTTAGAATCTAAAATTATAAAATGAATAAAAGCAACTTGTATATAATAATATTTTACTCAAATAATAAATAACTGCTCAAAAGTAATCTTTTTATATGTATATCGATCTTAATAATGAACTATAAAGTATAAATTGAAGTAATAACTAGTACTTAAGTAAAAACAGTGATTTATTATTTTGTCAATATGTTTTTTGCTTTATAAATAATTAAATTCAATGAAAATAATAGTCGACCATAGACTGCAGTTAGATTTGATTAAATAAGTTACAACAATTACCATTTCAAGTTGTGCCATCCAACTTTTAGCTAAATGACAATTTTGTAACAATACCCAGTTACCCATTCTTGTAGCTTCAGTGATAAGTCTTGATGCAATAGGCCCTTGTCCTTGACCTAATGATAACGCCGATAAACGGGTAGAAAATCCCTGAGTGAAAAGAAAGAAAACTATAGTAAATTACATCATGTTTATAAAATATGTCTTATATATTATTATGTATGGTTATACTAGTTTTTCTGAAATTTTAACAACATTGCAGTTGGATCTGCTCAGGTGTCAAAAAAAAAACTAATGGAGTTTGAAAACATTGGATGTCATCAAAAATTGTTGATAAATCAAATGGCAGGGGAACTGTGTATTTATGATCCAATACTGATTCGTCTGTTAAAAAATAAAAGTTATACACCATATAATTAGAAAACCATTTACCATCCATAATTTGTAATAATAATAATCGTACTAGCAACGAAATATTGAACAGCTGGTATAATTTTATCATATCGAAGTAAACGTATTATGAGACATTTTTGAAAATAATTCAGATGTTTATCCCATGGATCAGGAAAAGGTGCCAAATGTGGTTCCAATGAATCGTAAATTTCTTTCCATTTATCCGTGTTGGTTTCGAAATCCACTTTTATATTCTTTAAATATAAAGTTAATGTTTTTTAGTACAATTTATTTAAAACATATATATATATATATATATAAATGTATAACTAAACGTTAAAAATAAGATTTTAAAATATTACCTTGAATTTAGGAAGATTTTCAAGTCTACATAATTCGTCCCAGCTTTTATTCTGTAACCAACTGATCTGATTTTTGAACGGATTATCTAAACTAATTCCACCTGTAAGGAAGAATATCCATTCATCCATATCCAATTCTTCGGATAAATTAATAGCCATAATCAACGATAGTAATAACTTGTCCTAATAATAATTAATGATTATTAAAATTAAATGTCTAAATAGACAAACAAAAATTAACCTTTTTATTCTTTCTTAGTCATCTATTATTTATAAATATATAATTTAAAGAACATTTGTTACATAAAATATTATAATATTGTATTTATACAACAATTAAATATTATATTTTTAAGAAAAATATGTAAATTAGTTAATACATAATTAGATTACTAAGTTATAAAATGTTAATTATTGTTAAAATCAATTTATATTTGTTTAAAGATGACCAAATTATAATATTTCATTTGCTTATATATAGGTTTTTTGGTTATAAAGCTAAAATCTTAAGTTATCAGTAAAAATTACTTTTTCAAATAAACTTCTGCATATGTTAACGTATAAGGAATATGTAAAATATTTCATTAATTCATTTGTTCGATCTTCGATGTTTATACGTTTAGGGCTATTTTTGATAGCTACACTGAATAAATGTATAAACCACGCTAGAGAATATTGATACATGGGATCAATATTTGCCAACGTATCAATGGTGAAAAATAGTTTAGTTGAATGTGTGGCAACAATACGGTATTGTTGCCTAGTTTTGTCTATTATTCGTTCAGTGATTTCAGATTCTGCTTGTTTTTCTTTTATTTCGTTTGCTAATGTTTTTGAAGAACTTAATATGGTTACAGCGCCTTCGTCCTCCAAAATATTTCCTTCAGTCGAACTCAGGACTTCCAATATTTTATCTTCGATATCTTTTAAGGATCTAAAAAAATTTTTTTTTCTAATGTATAAGATTTATTAAAGTAGGTAGGGATGAATATTAGATCGTTAGAGCTGAGTGAGTGTCTTCTTATGATTTGATTTATTTTTTATTTTGGGACAGTGTAAAAATTCAAAAAGCTTTATACATCAAATATTTAAATTGGATGTTAATCACACATTTTACTCAAGTGAGTAAGTGAGTTATTTTAAATATTTTAGTATAGTTTCTAGAGAAAATCGTAAAAATAAAAAAAGGAAAGTAGTTATGTATTGCAGTTATTTTTCAAAATCTGAATTATTTCTGACCCTTTTTTAATCTAGTTATTTATATTTAGCGATAAATATTATAATATATTATACCTATGGACATTATGCACTTCTGTGAACAATTTGTTTATTGATTGATTGAAGAATTAATAATATACTAAAATACTAAAATTTAATTACTTACTTGGCATTTTTAGCACCTTGGATGATCAATTCATTCTTTACAGTTTCTAAATCAGGTCTATCTTTAGCTACTACTTCACCTAGTAACTGATCTTCCAGGCCAATAGGTGTTATCATAAAATTCAATAATACCACTTTTACAGCTACTTCTGGTAAGTAATGTGGATTTTTCAATTTAGTTGTTATATAAAACCTTCAATTACATAACATTATTAAAAAATAATTATATATATATAACAATATTATAAAAATCATGTAACTCAATAAGGATACCTGAAATTGGGATTATATTCAATGATGGAATCACCTAATGTTAGGCAGTAAGTTCCACGAGTTAAAAATATTTGTTTTAACAATACAGGGTCTAATATAGGATCCAATTCTTCATAAATGTTTTCTAATAAAACCTAAAATGTACTAAACATTAATTTTTTTTTTAATTCAATGATATATTTAATTTTATATTAAATTAAAATGTTAAATGTAGTAATTGCATATTATACTCTAAAATTAGGATGTGTGAGGAATTCTAAAGAGAAGTTCTTTAAAATACTGATGAGATATTGAGATAGTGTAACGTGTAAGGAATACCAGCAAATGAGTATATTGTGATAGCTGGTGACATGCATTGCCATTTAGAAAGTAATAAGCCAGGGTATGTAGGGTACATGAAGAAAGAAGAAAAAATATATATTTTATACTGGTTGGCCACTAGTGATGGCATGCTCCAAGACAGTAATATAGTTGGATGAACTGAAGCGTATTGTGTTTAAAGAGTTTTCCGTTTCCATTGTCTTAATCCATTTGTTTGCCTGTCCTTGTGGATCAATCATTAAAGCCGACCGTCTAGCATTCCTGAAGAAAAATAATTGGAAATTTAGAACACATAAATATTTAGTTTTATTTGTCTGTATCAAATTATGCAGTTTCCTTACATGACAATAATGCCATTATCTATAGAAAATAAATCCGTAGGCAACCCAGCTACATTCCAAGCTCTGATTACGACTGGCTGTCCAAGTATTGCACTTAATTGAAAATCTTTAGAACATACGATTTTATTTTCGAGGATTTCTTTCACCCAATCTTTGATTTGATTGCTTCTGTAGTCCATTGTGAATGGACCTAAGTATGCAATAATACCGGAACTTATTAACAAGTCACCTGAAATAAAACATATCTAGGTATTTATTTGTATACTAATCGAGCTTTTTAAGATTACGTTAACACACCTGTAAGGTTTAAATATCTTTCTCCGAGATCCTTAGCCATTTGCCCCCACCGTTGTTTTTCCCCTCCTAATCCACCTATTAAATCTTCAGCTCGTATCATTTTTGTTTGTACTTCATCAGCATTATCTTGTAACTTTGCCATTTTTCGTTCATTTTCTTCAAGGTTTTCTTGCACCAGTTTTAGTTTCATTTCAACCTCTTTGAGCTGTGAACGTTTTTCTTTAAGTTCATCCATCGCACTATTATACATAGATTCTGCTTCAGCTAGAGCAATTCTTTTTGGTCTTATCTCTTTTGCCACTTTGTCATAGCTAGATATTGCTGTTACCCATTTGCATAAGCCTTCCGCAGCAGTTGAAGCTTTTTTAATTAGTTTTGGTTCAAAATCTGGGTTCGTAAGATACTTTTCATTGATAACTTTCATAACTGCATTTGGTATATTATCCTTATCAAAATTAATGAGATGTTCTAAAAACTTCATGTCATTAAGTAATTTTTTTGATGGTCCCCAATAATCTTCCACCATTTTTCCAGTAGATGGGTCAGGAATTTTATCAGGTTTTACTTCCTTTATGATGCAAATAGTTTCCATAACCAATTTAACCCCATTAGGAGGATTTTTCATGGATTTTACGAATGTCATATCACCAGGAGTCAATGTATTTAATGCAGCAAGAGCAGCATTCAATACAGGTTTTGCAGCTTCCATGTGAGCTTCACACTCGTCCTTTATTTCTTGTGCTTCGCCTGCAGTTATCTGTGCCTTTTCTTCATCTATTTCAATGTTTTGTTTAACTTTTGATATTTCTATATTTTCTTTTTCTATTTTCAGCATAATTAGTTTTACTTTTTTAGAAGCAGCTATAATTTCAGGCTCTAAATATTTTAGTTCTTTTTGCAAAATTTCTATATCGTCGGCTGCGTTCTGCAATCTTTCTAATCCAACTTCGTACCGACGTTTTGCAAGAATTATTTCTCTGTTATGAAATAATACATTATATTATATTACTATAATATTGTTTTAAAACTATTAACTTACAATCGTTTTTTACTTAAAACATCTTTAAAAGTGTTGATCATTTCTAAGTAAGAAGTTGGCGTTACATAAGTTCGACGTTGTAATTTAGCATTAAACTCTATAGACAGATTTATAGTTGTTATATGAAATTGTTGACACATTTTAATACTAACATTGCGTTCATGATCTGTTAGTTCTACGTCACTTAAAAAACTTTTAGCCACAGCTATTAAAGCATCCGATGGCCAAGTCTAATATGAAATAAAAAAATGTATTGAAATTAAATTTGTATTCATTACCTATAAGGTATAATGAATAAATATTAAACAATAACATTTTCAAAGGAACATCATTTTAATGTGTATAACCAAGGTGAATAAATAACTTTGTTATTTACCTGAAACCAGTCAATAGTGCAACACTGCACAAGTGATGGAAATTGTCTTATTCTTGTTCTAAGGCCATTGCCAATTGGACTAAATGCCAACGACACGTGCAGTTGGTCACGCACAGTTTGAATAAATAAATTAAATAACCCGGTTAAGCTACCATCAGTCTAATAAAACGTAGTATTTTTATTATACATTCATTATTTAAATACTCAATAATTCTTAATTACTTGTAAAGTTTTGTCACGTTGTTTATCTAGTTCACGCATTTTATCACAGATCTCTATTTTTTCATCCATTACAAATAGATTAGGTACTTCTCCTGAATTTAGTAAATTGTTTATGTCTTCAACCATTCCTTCATTTTTTATCTATATCAAAATTGTTTTTTTTTTTAAATATATATATCCGTATTATATTTTATTATAATTTATTTACTTCTGAATCCGTAAACAAGAATATAACATTTTGATCAAACGCAAGAGTAGCTTGTTTAAATATATTTTTCAAATCCTCATGCCATTCATTTACTCCATATAAGCGAGTTAGTTTTATCTAAGTACAAAATATTATATTTCAACGATGAAGAAGTAATTAATTTTTGTTTTTAATACCTGAAATAGTTCGTATTGAGAAATATGTGCAGCTAGTCTTGTTAACGACTGGCGACCTGATCCTCCTAAACCAATAAGTAAAGCATGCCCTCGTGGCTGATTCATGATACGACAAATCCGGGATAAATGTTCGAGAGCGAATCTAAAAAGCACTAAATGCATAGGTTTTTTGCTCAATTGATTGAATTCACTAAGAAATTCTTCAACTGTCAATCGAAGACTCTCTAAATCACGGATTTCTTTATAATTTCTATCTTGTGAATGTGGATTAGAGAAGTCACAATAAATTAACTGGCGCAATTCATTTTGAGTTACCTAATTATTTATAAAAATATTTATTTTTTATTTCGTTAATTGAAAATAAAAAAAAAAGATTTGTTAATATTTTACTATTTTGTTATCCGTCGTGATAAGATGAATGAACATTTGATTTAGGTCTTCGTCTAGGAATTCTTTACATACAAAACGTAAACTATCAAAAAACCACCCACGGTCAGATTCATCAACTAAACGGTCATAGTATACTCTAAGTATTTCATGTACCCAAAGGCGTTTCATGGAAATTACATCGGTAATAGTGTCAGGAACAGAGAACATAATTCCCTAATGAAAAATAAATTGTATTAAATTGAAAATAAAAACGTTTGATACCTTTGATTTAAATATAATCATTCTTACATCGATTATACACGTATAGGTACGTCATATACATTTATAGGAATATAAATTAGGATGTACCTACATTTTACTAAAATAGTAGTTATTTAATAAATTTTTTTGTTTCAGTTATTTAAATAATGTTTGGACTATATTTACTTGTATGACTTTAGAAAAATCTCTTAAATTGAATAAGTAATGTGATTTAGCTGGAGTTGGCATTAAATATCCAATGCTCTTTTTATGTACCTCTAATGTTGAATTGATTAACTGATCAACAGATGAATCAAACTTTTTGCCAAAACCTCTGTACGATAGATAAAAATTAGATAAATAAAAAAAATTATAACGTCTTTTTTTACGATTACTAAACTTGTTTTCTAAATGCCAAAATAAAATTTTGCTAAAAATTGAAACCATTGTGATATCGTCGAATGAGTTTGTCACGATTATGTTAAAATGACGACTAAACCTAGGAGTCACGGTATTTCCTGATGATGGAGGCCCCATCGCACATAATATTAGGACGTCTTGAAGGTGTATGGCTTCTAATTCTTTACGGTCGTACCATGGAAATTTGTCCATACATTGGCGCAACAGCTCGATAGGCGGCTGAGCCCCATAGTACTCCTTTAGTGGCATACTCAAATCATCGATAAATATTATGCACTTGGTTCCGATCGGAGGTCCGAACACACCACGTCTTCTCTTAACAAGTTTACTCATAATTATGTCCTGTGTAATATTTGAGGAAGTCTGCGCGGAAAAATTAATACAAGACGAGCTGTTAAATTCTTTATCAATTTTCGTAAAAATGTAATTCTGTAACCGAAAAAATGTAAATATTATTTTTGATTTGATAGCTGCAAGGAAATGTGAGTTCCATCATACCATAGTGTAAGCCGATTTTCCTGTTCCAGTTTTACCTACCATCAGCATTGGTTTATTATTTTCTAATAACAATGCCATTAGTGCATGGTTTCTAATTGTATCTACTGTTGGAACTATAATTTCATTGAATGGAATGTCTTTCGGTATCGGTGGTTCATCGTCTATATAATCTGTCCATAGTTTCCATTCTCCTTTGCCTTTTTTGTTTATAACATATCTGTAGTCGAAAACTAATCCGTCTTTGGGAATTACATTCGTATATGGTTTATCTGGTGATGGACATAGTTCAAGTGGTATATTTAATGCATACGCTACTTTTTTGGGAAATTTATTTTCTAACAATGCTCGAAACAGGAGATTGAATTTAATTCGGCTGCTTGTGTCTAATGCAGCTCCCATTGACCATATACAAGAAAAGAAGCATATACACTGTAGAAAAATAAAGTTAGATACAATGATAGTAATTATATAAGTATGGAAACAAAGTGTATTTTACTTCTATTTGCGATCTCATATCAATCTGTGAGATTGTTTTTAAATGTTCTTCGTCATAGTATGGTTTAAAATAAGTATCACAAATATTTGTTAGTGATCTAACCAAGTTCATATCACTAGTAGGAAACACTTCCTATAGTATAATAAATTAAAATCACAAACAGTGAATTCAACAATAAAAATTCTATTATTCTATTATATAATATGTTATTATATACGTTAATATTACAACGTCTTAACATGAACAATATTGACCGAGTGAACCGTATGATATGTTTATGTAACGCCTCTTTGTGTTTCGGTGGTAAGTAAGAGGACAATTGGTTTATCCACGAAGTCACTAAACACTCCCAGCCTAATGAAACCGGTTCCATGTAAATCATACCACACCTTGAAACCTTAAGCAATAGAATATAATATGTTAATATTTATGGTATAAAAAAATAAAAAATTGTTACAAATTCAAGTTGGTATCACTCAATTACCGTGGCCGGCGATGCAACATCCAAGTCCATAGGTTCGAAGATCAAATTAGTTGTGTTAGCAAGTTGTATAATTTCTCCTGATATTAAACATAATTTTTTGTTATCATCCAACACGGTATTCATACTTTCAATCCAAATAGCGTCTACTGGACCATCAAAAATCAACCATTTTCTGTCGAGGTTAGTTGAAGAAGCAAATTTTCTGAACCCAACAGCTAAAATTCCGTCCGACCATTCGTGTGATGTTAGATCAAACTGACCATAAAGTTGACCCAATGTTATAGACTTAGGGTTTATTACCATAATTTCGACTTTATGTTCATTCATTAATTTCTTTTATTAAAATAAACATATAATTTATTACAAGATGCCATTATAATATAAGTTTCAAATTGATGCAAGTGTTCTATATAGTGATCATTCATATATCAATTATACATGAATTAAAAATCATGAAATTGTATGTTTATGTTTAGCCATTTTTTTTTGTCATTGTACCTAGTTTATTGATAGACATTTTTATTCTTGCTTTTATATTTTATTTTATTTATATGAAACGTTAGGATAAATGACAATAATTTATCATTCTATTATGTTTCACTCAGTGGATGACATAAGCTCCAAAATGAGATAAGAAAAAAGTTGTATCGTACGAAAGCGTCCAAATCTTGACACGGTTAATATATATTTAATAACTGATACTAATTTGAGAATTATAGGTATATTATCTTTTAACAATTTAATACTGACAATTTGTTATAGGATCGACATTTTTAAAATAACTACTTATATAAAATATTAATTAAAATATGTCATTTTTGCACCTTTGGCGCTTCTGTCATTTGTTGGGTGTAACATGTATATAATATTAGATTGGAGCTTATGTCCTACAAATTTTGGCGCAAATGATATGATTGATATTATATCATTTTTGTAACTTTGGCGTTTTCGTCATATAGCCGTTTCACTAATCGCCATCATTGTGGTTTTTTACTTTTTAATCATTATATTATACATTTTTAATTTCCAACGAAGTAGAATGTTTTTTTTTCAAAATGTTGGTGTATTCAATTATTGAACAAAACGTTTATTGCTTATAAGTAAATGAGGATTATATGAGTAGAGTAGTACCTAGCACTAATATTTCAGAAAGTTTTATCTGAAGTTGGAATTCCTATTAATTCATATTTAAATATCTGGTCATTTGAGTAGGTTTAAGTAAAAGACTGATGTTTGCCGATCCGACTTTATGATTAAAATTTACGATTTATAACTTATGAGTGTTGTGAAAATATTTAAACTATTAAATATGTTACACAAAACTCAAGAAGATAAGAAGTCGAGTATTGGGAACGCGTCTATGCTCTTGTATAGTTGGATCTATATCCTTTCATTCCGTGCGTCGTTATGCATTTATTGACTGGCACAACGAGACAGGGCTATTTATGAATTTTATTACACAAGTATGTCAGATTAAAAAATAGAACTGAAGGTTAATACGGTTAATATAAATATGCTCACATTGGTTTCAATAATTTTTAATGCACCACTGAGTACTTTATAGGCTGATGTTTTACCACTAAACGGCAAACCCACAATCATAAATCCATGTCTAACGATCATCATTTCATATATTTGTTGAATTTTTTCAACAAAGAACGGAGTACATTGTAGATTCATTATTTTACAGTGTTCTTCTATAGCGGCGTTGAGAATTTTATAATCTGGTGTTGGCAATTCAATTCCAGGGAACAAATCTGAAGTTAAACCCTATAAGTACCGATGTTATTATCGTTAATTAGGTGAATAGTGAATGGGTAATTGTATTGTGCGTAGAATAACCCATATTACTTTAAACAACGGGATATCATGTTTAAGAAACTTTGGTAAATTAACGTCATTGATAGAACGCAACATGAGTATATTTTCATCTTCTTCGGGGTATTTCAGTTTTAGATTTCCGGCTGCTGTCAGCACAGTTTTAACCGCTCTCATTCCTGTGTAGTATGTATCTTAAGTAATTATAAATTTTAGTTTTATGTACCTTGTATTTGTATTTAACCGTAATCATAATGGTTTTGCGACGAAAGCTGTTCGGAACATAATTTATACGTTGCTACAATTTTTACCGACAACGAACGAGCTAAACTAAACCCTTGGGAATACAAAACTATTTCAGATATCAAGGCATAATCGGGTACCATCATCGCTACTGAACGAAATAAAGCCTGAAAACCAAAATTATATTTTATTTAAATATATTAAAACAGTTTTTGATAGACCATAGATAATATTTTAACAGATACGTAAATTAAAAAGAAATATTATTTAAAGATAAAGATTAACAAAAAAAAAAAAAATCGTTTTATATTTGTCAATTACTTTTAAATTATCCGGTAGCTCTGAACGTCCGGCATAACCAGGGTTCATAGTTATAAATATAGCGCATGTATTATCCAATGTTAAATTTGACCCTTCAAAAAATATCTTGATCAATCCAGCCTGTATACCTCGTTGAATAGTCAATATTTGTTGTGCAACTACTGATAAGACTTCTAAATCTATGCGATTGAATTCGTCAAAACATGCCCATGCGCCACACGACAATAAACCCTATAAACGATAAACGCCTGTTAGAACGGTAGCAAGAGGTCAGCAGAACCTATTCAAATTATGTACTTTGAAAAATTTCCCAAGACCAATGTAGTCCATACTATCTGAGCAATTGAAAACGACACATTGTTTAGCTATTGCTTTTGCCAAGTCTTTAGTAGTTTCTGTTTTACCGGTTCCAGCCGGTCCTTCAGGCGCACCTCCCAAATTTAATTGAAGAGCGCAAAACAGTGTTCGATAACAACGGTCAGTGAGCGGAGTAATAACCAATCTTGCCGAATTACCTAGGTATTCGTAACCGTAATTCAATGATGCATTTATCATGGAAGTAAATAAATTCTCGTCCTGAAAATAAAAAAAAAAATTGATACCGATTTGTTATTGTCAGCATACATTTTTATTTACGATCCAATAATATCGCAATTGGCTGATCCATCCAAAATCATTTGTTTTACGAATATTTTTGTTTGCCAAGTCATCAACAACATCTCTGGCATGGACGTCGATTACAATCAACGCTCCTGTAATAGTGTGAATAATTTATTTAGAGATCATATTTTATAAGTTTCAGTTCAATAAAACCTTACCTAACGTTAATCGCGTTTGAACTGACAATACACCTCGAACCAATTTAACAATTTTATCGATCTGCCTATTACATTTATTCAAATATACCGAAAGACCATCAGGATGTTGTTTGATTGCTTGTGTCATCTCGACGGTCCAATATGTACATGAAACAGCTAAGACAGCTTGTCCGGGCCATTGTACTACCCATTCATGCCTGACGGTATTCTGATAAGCTAACAAAGCCTTCCCGATTACTGCACGTACCGTAGTTTTCATTGATAGTTCTAAGTCTAATAGCCATTTCTCAACTTGACCTCTAGCTTTGGCTGTATTAATTGTTATTGATAAATTTACGATTTCTGCTTCACTAGATACCATAGATATAACATCCAGTTTTTCAGTAAAAATAAGTGTAGCTATTCCTTCAAAACATTTTTTTAAATGTGGCTGCACTCTCTTCGGGTCTTTCGTTTCCGATATGATTTCAAGAAGTTCGTCATTTGATAAAAAAAACAATCTTGGAAAATAAAGTCGTTTGGTCTCGAGATAATTATTTAAACCTTTTTGCACCAAATCTAATAGCATATAACTTTTTTTTAAATTTTGTAAGATGTTTTCTATATTAACTGTTTGTAAAATATTCATTGATTTATTAATATCTTTCATTAAGTCTCTCCATATCTGAAAAATAAATTTGATGGTTTCAAACTTTAACTATATTGGTATTTTAATTTTTAATATATTATAAAAATAACATAACCGTTATTTTAGAGTTTTGCGTTGATTCAGTCACTTGCAAAAAATTTACTTTTCGATTTAAACATTATGAAGTTTTAAAAATTGATCGCGTTTCTTCTTTAATACAATTAATGTAAAACAATAGGTAAATAATTTTAAAAAATCAATAAGGTAGTTTTCAATTAAAAACAATCAAGGAAAAGAAATTTATAAGATAGTATAAGGAGTTATTATTAAAGAACTTAAAATATTCAATATATTTATCTATAGGTGGGTAAGAAGAATTTAAATTTAAAAACCTTTAAATCACTTTTATCATTAAAAATATCTCAAACCACCATAATGTTTTTATTTGTGTTAGAACTTTAGAGAGTATCTGTGGAATGCAAGTGTTATCCTTTGAATCTCGAAAATTACGGTGTAGAAAATGTAATTATATTGAAGTGAATACTAGTACCATTGCGGTCAAATGATTTTGTCAAGTATCTATGTATATGTTACCGGAATAGATGAAAATTCAGGAATTGTCGGTATATCCTAGTCATTGTTGACAATGGCTGGAAAGGTTAGGCAATGTTGGATATTTCGTAGTTTTATCAACATTTCCGTATTATATTAGACAATGTTTTAAATCCGAATCGAAAAAAATATCGACACCGCGCTTTATCGGTGATCGATCTGATTATGAAACATAGCTATCTATATTATTACTTATTAGTTATTATAGTATATAATATGGTAAATACTAAATCCTGTTTTATGTTATCGTTTTTATTGCTTATAAGCAAGTTATAACTTATAATAAAATTGATTATACAGAACTATCGTAGCTGGTATCGTTATGGTCACATCCCGAAAGTGACTGTACAGTACTGTTTGTGCATTGAAGTAGTGAATAGTAACGTGTAATAACTAATAACATTGTTTTTTTTTTCAACAATCTCCTTAAAAATGGATTTAAATGAAATGCGCATAAAATTTGATAACGCAATTCTATTATTAATTGTATCGAAACGTAACGACAACAACTTTTTTTTGAATAATGAAGAATATTGTGAACGAATCAAAGAAATAAAAAAATCTAAAATTATACTATCTACGGCTGGAGTAAAAAAGTGTACGAAAGACTATAGGAATGTTCGTAAGTACGATATTCTTATTATCAACGGTAAAGATCGTCTTATTAAAACTATAACCAATGCGTCAGAAGGTGTGCGTTATTATGTAAAAAATGAAGAGTTGTTTGATATAATTCATTCTACACATACAGCAATCGGTCACGGAGGCCGAGACCGAATGATAGCTGAACTTAAATTAAAATACGCGAATGTGACAAAGGAAACAATAATGGTTTATTTAAGTCTATGTTCTGATTGTCATAAAAAATCTTCGAATCCAAAAAGAGGGCTTGTATCAAAACCTATTTTACATTCGGCATACAACTCACGTGCTCAACTGGATTTAATAGATATGCTTTAACAGCATTTCTGGATCCCAAGATTTTACGAGATGCCACTGTAAAACACAGTGTAAGACCAATAGATGTGCTGGTCGTGCATCTACTAGATTATGTAATTCTAAGTGTCATAGCAGTTTACCGTATAACAATAAAGATTAAGATTATGATTTATAATAAATAGCTAATAAGTATTATAATTTATAATATATTATTCGATTTTCAACTTAATTTTTAATGTTATCATCAATGCCTTCTATCATTAGGAATTGTCATAAATGACTAGTTATTGACGTTAATTCCTTACTAAATCAGGCCTTATCGTTATTGACTAGTCACTGTCAACACTGACTGAATGTCATCTTTTCCGGTAACATATATAATATATTATATATACTCACTATTTATACTTCAAGTTAAATCAGTGGCGTATTTTTAATTTTTTTGTGGGTGGGGAGGGGTCTAAAAAATAAGTAAATGTATAATATTATAAAAATACACATGAGTAGAGTTTGAAACTAATTGTTCCACAAAAATGATCGATAAAATAATGTGTAGTATTATATATGCAGCTAAAGTTTTGTATTAGGTACTTTCGAAAAATTCATAAAACATATCAAATTTTGGAAATAAGAAACTCAAAAATAAGTAGATATATAAACGGTAATAAAAATAATTTATATATGGGTTTACTATATTTATATTGGTTCATATGGACATTATTGTATGTGATAGGCATTTCAAAACTATTGTGACTTGTGGGATAAAACAGCTTAATTTTTAAAAATACTAGAACATCTATACTGAGTTAAGGAATAACGATTAACTTGATATTAAACAAACCCATAGGTATCTACTGATTTTCATTTTTCCTTACGATCTAAAATCTAGATATTAATTAGTTTTACCACAGTTTTATCACAAAGAGATTCATAAAATCTTAAGTACCTAACTAGTAACTACCACTCACAAAAAGTGGGGGGATTTGGTGGCCAAGCCTCCACCATCAATATTAACAGCCCTCCGAAATATTTTGTAATTTTTTTTAAGCTTATTCAATAGTAGTAGTAACTTATTATAATATAGTGGGGCTTCAAGCTTCAGCTTTCGCAAATCTCAAACGCTGTTTATTTCTATGATACCTACCCAAACATAATTTATTTTAGAAATATTTTTGAATGATAGCCAAGTATGATTTTTCCCGACAATTGTACGTACACAAAAATATAAAAAGAATTCAAAAGTTGTACAAATATCCCAAAATTTGCTCAAATATGCACTTCTCCTAAAATATGACAAAATAATCAAAGATATACAAATTCAAACTTTGTATTTAATTTCACCGTTTCATATAACAAATTTATAACTTACCTAGAATAATCTACGATTACTACAAAAAACATGCAAATACAAGAAGTCTTGAATCCTACAAATGAGTTATGAAAGTTATGAATTAATAATTATATTGTTTTATTCTGTGTGGGAGGGGCCGAGACCCGGGAACCACTGAAAATACGCCACAGAGTTAAATAATTAATAATATATTTTTACCTTATCCACTGCATTAAACTTTTGTGATTCATCTGGCATCTGTCTCTGTATATCTGGAGATGAAAAAATTGATTCCAAGTACATCCAGGTCATTTGAACTTTGACCAATAACTCTATTATTTCATTCAAAGTAATTATTTTAGCTTCCCATTCTCTAGTATAAAAATGAAAAAAACCTCTTAAATATTATACTGTTCAATAATGTAAATTAAACTGAAATACAATAATTTGTTTTCAAAAGGTTTAACAAATGGAGAAGATTTCATCGCAGCTGTTTTTAATATGTGATCGTCAAGTAGTAATTGTACATCATCTATACCCGATAAAATATATGTTCCCGAATCTCTAAAACATAAAATTAAATTATCTTCGTCTTACAACTATTAAACTTTTAAATTATGTATATTATACTTGTAGTCTAATATGGTAAAGTTGAAATCTTTCCATTCCTCCACCATAGTATTTAGCCTCTTATCCAAATTATTTTCTTTGGAAGCTCCATCACTAATTATTTCAAATTGAGGTACAAATTTACCGAGGTTGAGATTTAAAACTTTTGCCAGAGTTAGATTTTGATCGGGGAACATTACAAAACCGACTACATTTGAAATATCTTCCCAGTGACGTCGTTTAAGACCTAAATTTCCCAATGTTAATACTTCTGGGATTCTTTTTTTAAATGCCTCGACCAATGTCCGCACCTGTACACATAGTATATTATCATGTTTAACAACTAACATTAACATTCATATATGGTTTAATTTTACGTTTATTGTATAAAATTAGTTTGCTGATGTTTGTACTTTTAATGTTAAAAAAATTTAATTAAATAGTAAAATATAAAATAAATAATATTTATGTTGATTTACCGCAATGATGTGTATTTGTTGTTTTTATCACTTAAACGAGAGACTTTAGAAAGGTTAACGTTTATGGTGGTCTGACTACGATTGTACCTATCATTTTTGTGTTTATTTATATGTTTGGGGCCAGAGTGGCGCAGTGGTCACGCAGTTGACTACGACTTACACAGTCATCGGTTCGATTCATAGCTCAGTGCAAAATAAATTTGTGTGGTTCTACGCGATCACCATTTCCCCCTGCTGTCGTCCGATTGCGTCATCTGGTTACTACCCTACTACCATCTATCACTAACATCTCCCTACTACCCACTTGTGATAAGCATTGACGAAGACCTAGAGGTTGTTTCAATGAACAAATAATAATAATAAAAAAAAAAAATGTATATGTTATGATTTATATCTGACAAGATTTAAACATTTTATGTCAGGTTTAAATATTCGATAAGCAAAGTAACATAGTATTTTTCAGTTTTCAGACTTCTGACTATGTTTATAATTAATTTTGACTTTCGTAAGTATTAAAAACAAAATTCAATATTGTAGGTACACCCTTCAAGGACATCTGTTAGAATTAAAATTAAATTAAATAAAACTTTGGTTCACATTTTTAAGCTAGGTATTTTTTACTCTTAGATTAATAAACTGCTTATGGTACAATACAACTTTATTTGAAAAAAACCTTAACTCACCAAATTAGGAGTTTATTTTTATATCATACCAATATATTAAACTATGTTATTCAAACCTAACGAAGACTTAGATAAGTCTATTAAAATACAGTGTTTCTATTGCACCTGATAAACTTGTTCTATCTGTATTATTTTGTTATTATTTTTATTCCCATTCAATATAAATAATTTACTTGATATTATAGTGTTCATAATATAGTGTACCTAATATTACACAGAATAAAACCATCACGACATTTTTAATTTTAAACTAAAAAGTAAAAATAATAAAAATAGTAAACTTATGTAATATCGATGTTGACATTTAAAGTTAATTACCGCTTTAAAAATGTAGATACTTAAATAACTCAAAAGATTCATAAAATCATTAATTATAACACATACCTACTTATTATCTATTAAAAAATATAATTATGATTTGTACTATAGTTATTGATTATTATTTATTACCTATAACTTATTTATAAGAATGATGTAGATTGTTTCATAGGTTGTTTAACAAATTAAAACATAACTTTCTTTTTACCAAGAGTTATTATGGTATGTAATTCACATAATAATATTTTAATAATTTTTATTTATATTTTAATGATAAATTAATAGACCGATCGACCAATAGAGTAATGGACCAACGTAGGTACAACTAATAATTTGTGTGTGACACTGGGACTGAACCACACGACGACTGACTGCTGACAAAACTAATCCTATAGGTATACCTATGACTTACCCAAATTGTTATTACTTATTATTAATAAAAAAAAGGTGGGCAAGTGGGTGTCGCTCTGCTGTACAGTAGGTTACAATTGGGTCACTGTATAATGGATGATATTAAATTTGAATTCAACGATATAATATCATTGTATAAGAAAAACGATTCTGAGCGGAGACGGTATGTCAGTCTATGTATAAGACATAAAATTGACCTATAATAGGTAGGTACCTAAAATAAATTCCAAATTAATCATATCACAATATCCATTAGGTACTTATAAGCGATATACATCAACAAAATCCGTGATACTATCATATATATATAATAGTACACTTTAGAAGTTTCAAGTACCCACGAATAATATTATTCAATCACAACAAAATAACTAAAATAGTTATTCTAGGTTTTTTAATATGTAATTTCGTCCAAATTTGGATTTAAAATGTCTGTAAAAAATAACTGTATTCATATATTTTTTAGATTTTTTGGTTACAGTATGAACTATTTACGAGAACCTTTGTATTGAATTTGCAATCCTTAGCTATAAAAACTGAACATTTTATAATTTATTAATTACAATGATTGAAAATTTTCGAGATTTTGATAAATTTTGTCAAAATTTGATCTTTAAATGCTTATAAAAAAAAACTGTGCCTATGTATTTTTAATATTTTTCAACTGATATTGTAACAATATATCAGGAGCCTTGTATTAAATTTTTACACTTTTTGGCCCAACAGATAAAACTTAATTGATATTTATAGAAAAAAAAAACTAAAAAAAATTGAAAACTGTAAATGTCCATAAACAGTTCAAAATATATCAAAATATTTTAAAAACGTTATCGTGTATATAAAATGCAAATATAAACAGCCAGTGAAAATTTCATGTATATACGTTCATTTCTTTTAGAGTTACACCAAAAACCAAAATCGATTTTTTGGAAAACCGATTTTGCTTAAAAATTCCCGTTTTTTCTTAATTTTTATGTTGTTTTTCGCGGCGCTTGTGAAAACTACTGGGAAATTTTTACTTTTGACCCCCCAAAGTACCAACTAGATTCACTTTCCTATCAGAAAAGCTACTGTTGAAGAAAATCCAAGCACTTTTACTGTCCTAAAACGTGATGACGGACACAAAAAAAAATAAAAAATAAAAAATATAAAAACACACATCATTGTAAAACCAATACATTCATCGCTCCGCTCAGAATCTAAAACTACTTATTATCAATATTATACGATGTTTATAATATTACTTTTATTGCAATACCCAATGGGGCAGGGTTTTTCATGAATGTCCGTTCGAGTTTTGATAAGTTACGATAGTAAGTAGTCACATTTTGATCGATCTGCTCTGGGTCGTATGTGCCAATGGCAGCATTCATCCAGTTTTCATGATTTACGATAAACTCTGAACAGTTATCATAAAGCAGTTTATATGGCGCTAATGAATCTGCAACCTTAAACACAAACTCGTTGCTGTGATAAATTATTGGTACAACAATTATTATTTCTGAGCAACGTATGTATATTTACAAATTTTCGAAGTGGATATGCACTTTCTTCCATCTGAAAGTATTTTTCTTGTTTGTTGAATTCATCGATTGTCTCCAAAGCTTCATTTAATTTATCATCCATTTTTTGAGATTTCTCCGCGTATATTTTTATATCATTTATGTCTCCCAATATTCGAAACTCTTCCAATTCCGATCTATAGATGTCCAGCTCGATGTTGAAATTTTTAATACGCTCCTGTAGAACTCCTTTAAATTCTTTTGTTTTATTTATAACCATTATAGAACTCATAGAAATTGTATCGTTGACGTATTTGACCCAACGGAATGTACTAGTTTTTAATTTCAGTTCTTCCTTCGTAAATTCTACAAAATCCATCAAAAATATTTCGGATGACAACATTTCGATTGTTTGTTTCATTAACTTAGGTAAAATATTGTCCCTTGTGTCAGAGATAAATGCGATTAGTTTTATTAGTTCGTCGACATTTTCTGGTGGTGTTAATATCACGTCAACAAAATACGAATATTGTTCATTTAATCTAAAATAATTAATGTAAAACAATTTTAGTATTATGACTATATTTAAGTACTATATAAAAATATTTAAATTTTACTTTTTTCCAATAACTGAGTAGGCAGTCTTCATATGAACGATCATGTTGTTTTTAATTGTATTTGCTTTTTTGTGTAAGGTAGTGATAATTTCAGTGAAATCAATTTGAAATATCCCTATATTTGCCGTTGGGAGTATGTCAGCCAATATGGTCGAAGAAATTTCATGGTATTTAATTATAGCATTTTTATATTCATCGAAAGTATGGGTTTTGGATAAAAATATTTCCTCTTCCTTTTTGGAGTTTCCGTTTACTAAATAAAGGTATCTTACAACTTTGTCTTTAAAAGTTTTTCTCTGTTCCCAACAATTATCCAAGTATGTTCTTAGATTTTTAATATTTTCACAAATAATATCACTATTCGAATTCACCTGTATTATGAAAACTATAATTAAATACCTATTGTTTTTATTCAAAAAGTGAGTCGAGAATCCAACGAAAATTCAGGCAGTGATAAATGATAATATTAGTAATCGGTAGATGTTAGCAAGCACTACCGAATAGACAGCTTAAACTAGAATTAATCTTTTCAGTTTAGTTGATGTAAAATAATATAAATTATAATTACTTTCAAAAATGGATGTGTATGATAATGTTCGAACAAGGAATGTTCAATACGTAACAAATTTGACGACATTTCTTTTATCTTCTCACAAATTGACATAATAAAGTCCCGTAAACGCTCGTATGATGGCAGATATCGCAACGAACCATTTCTGTACACTAAACTTGTCTTAAGAACTGGATTTTTCTTTTACGGCACAATGTTTATGAAATAAAAATTACTCTAAATTATATTTACAAAAATAAACTGTACAATTAGTAAAATTAAATAGGTAACGTGCTAGTCAAAAGGTACCAAATTAAATTAAATAATTTTTTTCAACAAATATTATAACGTGGGCTGAGAATAAAAAGGTTCTATGGTTTTTTCAAATATTTCTTATGAGTTTTCAATGGCGAGTGATTTAAACTGGAAATTAGTTTGATACGACGTCATTGAACGACTCTCAACGACTCAATGAATGAGATACACAAAGCAAAAAGGTTCTTTGTCTTTAAAATTAACATATTCGTTATTTTTGAACGTATTATAGATAGAACCTTTTTACTCTAAAACTTTTTTTGAGTATAAAATGGTTCTATATTGAATTACAAATACATTATTAAGGGTAAAAGAGTCCTATCACTACCAATAACACAATAATATCAAAATGTCGATACGATAATGTGTAAATGATACGATTGTGTCGTAGTCAAAACAAGTGTTTCCCATCCATAGATAATACATACAATTATAAATATAGTAAAGTATAAAACATTCCATAGTGTAGATGATTTTCTTCAAATTATCTTGTGTTCTAACTCGGCTCCAAATTTTAGACAATCTTTAAAAAATATAAGCTTAGCTGTATCAACTAAAAATAATCCAAAAATAACTAAGGAAAAAATTCAAGATATAGAGTATTTATACAAATGTAGCCTTGAAGATGAACATACTTTTTATACTAATTTGTTTCACAGATATAAAGAAACTTTTAAATAAAAAATAGTACACACAAATTATTCTTAGAATTACGTAGCTCAGTATCTTATAAGTTAAAAAAATATTGTTTTGAATTTTGATTCTATTTTATTTTATTTTTATGAATTTATTAGATATTAAATGTATTGAATGTTGCATCACATTATTATATATTTATACAGAATAATTTAAATAAAAAGTGATTTAATAAAATATTAATGATTGACGTTTTAGATAAAATTATATCATAATATTATGTTGGCCTGACTGGTCAAAGTTGTGTAATGTGCTATAGGGTAAATAGGTTCTATCTATTAAATAAAAAATATTTAGCGAGTAAAATAGTCCTTTGTATAGTCGTATAGAATCTTTTTACTCCAAACTGTTTTTTTGTTGTTTTTTATTTTTAAAGAATTCACTAAAATAGTGAGATGCTATATTTTCATGTTATATTGTTAGAGAAAACATGCTTGATTTTTTGATTTCAATTATAAACAATTATCCCTATATGATAAAAAGATATTTGACAACAAACCTTAAAAATGCTCTCTTAAAAAATTAGATATTTTGATATAGAACCTTTTTACTCTCAGCCCAAGATAATTCAATTACTTGTGACGATTCAAATAATAGAAATTATAATATTTTAAATTATTTTGTAAAAAGTAAAATTTATTATCAATAAAAAACAAATCTACTTTCAATATTTTAAATACACAACATGTAGTATAATAAAGTGAGTGTAGAAATTTTTAAATTTAGTTTTTAAAATTTGCATAGTTCTGCGATAGCAGTCAACCTGTGCGCCTCCAATGTGTTTACTGTTCTCCTTACCTACCTCAAATTTCACGAATTTGCTTACAGGATGTAATGTGATTCAACTTCCTTCTGTTTTGTACGTTTTTAAGCTTATCGGATTCACTTGCTTCTTTATAAGTATACAACACAAAATAACTATTTCGCCAACCGCCTGGTGCACTTATACGCCGCTTCTTAACGGGCGGCGGCGGCCTTGTTGTTATTGTAATTATTATTATATTAATAAATTCACTATCTGTGCAGTGTTTCGACGTTACCGTAACTAAACTAATCACAGTTCTATCTGCCGAGTCATAATAATAAACCTGGTATTTCGTCCTCAAACGTAAATAAAAATATTGGATCTCATTCGAACAAAAATATACCACCCAGATAACACCGCGCATGGAGGCGTTGCTATATTTATTAAATACACATTTGCTTTTCATCCTCTATCCAACTTTTTTCAAGATTTTCTTCAATTCTGTGCTATCAGTCGTAATGTAAATAATACTTCACTCGCTGTTGCATCAATATACTCTCCTCCAAAACACAATGTCACTAACACACAATTCACGGAGTACTTTAACATAATTAAAAATAACTTTATTATAAGCGGCGACTACAATGCCAAACATCAGTCATGGGGTTGCCGTGTGAATAAACCGCGTGGTCTTACCTTATATAATTTTATAAATACTAAAAGATTTAAAGTATTAGCTCCAACAGGACCAACGTATTGGCTATCCTCCTCTTCAAAAAATCCAGATATCTTAGATATCTTTGTGTCCAAAATCCCAAATAATTTATTTTGCACCACTAAAAATATTCTTGATTTGAATTCAGATCACTCCTCCGTACTTCTAACACTTAATTCAACTCCAACTAAAAAAAAAACACCACATCGGGTTTCGTGCTTCTCATTCGACTATACATCAAGTGCACAGATTAATTGACGCTATTTCCTATGCGCTGGAAAAAAAAAATTATATACGTGTGTGTTTAGACTCTCACAAGCTTTACCGAGTTGGCAGATGACTCTGTATAGATTAAAAGATTCCTTCCACCATGTAATACTATCAAGGGCACGTGGTGGCTCATCAATTATTTTCCTCTGTATGTATTAGCATAATTATTCAGTATTAATGACACGTATATTACGAAAAAATTAAAAAAAATAAAATGGCATAAAATAAAATATGAGTAACACATACTGTACTTTCACATCATTGTTATTCAGTATCACGCTTAATTACGTTTTCTCCATATTTTTAATTTATTAAAATAGGACTCATTATTCATCTGTCATTATTCATTCTTTAATATATTTTAGTAAATCGTTTTTTAAATTGTTCTATTTATAATAAATGTCGGTATGTAATGTTTCTTAAAATGTAACGGTATATCATTTTTAAATATCTTAAATAAATTCAAATAGTTTTATGATTACCATCGATATTAATAAATTTAGATGTTACATAGATTATTAATTGATAGAATAACATTTTTAATTGATAATTTATTGTAAACATATAAATAATCTTATTTCTTCACTTATATAATATAAAGAAATTATTATTGATTTTAAATTTTCATGTACAAAACAATAATGAAATAATTGTAAAATAATCAATTGTAAATACATTTATTAATATGCATGTGCATTGTGCATAATATCTAATTATAGCTAAAATACATTTACATTATTTTATAATAATAATATATTACCTCAGCGTCAGACATAAATTCCGTATACTCTCTAATAGTCTTTTGTATGAATTTTTCGTATTGCAATTGCATGACTTGAGCAACATAATAGAAAAAATTCGACTGTTTTTTCTTGCTTTTCGTAATTGGTAATTTGTTTTTGTATTTTTTCTGAAATGTGAAAAAAATAAAAAATGAATTTAACGTATAAAATAGTTAAATTAAAAACTTAACCTGTTGAAATAATTGTTTCACATGGAAAAACCATTCGCTTCGCATAGCGTCGTTGACAACCTTTGATTTTGCCAATATATAATTTATAAACTCTGTTATGTTATAATTTATGTGTTCTTCGTTTAAATTATTAGAATTTAGGATAGTTATACCTCTGTAACGAGAAAGTTTTAAGTTTCATAAAGGTATCATAATAGCATCATTCGTTATGACTAACTGTATAATACAATTTCAGATTCTGATGTGTTAGTCCAGTCAATTTTACCACTTTTTAACCCATGAATTTTTGTTGATTATGTTATTTTTATGAGTATTTTGACTTAATGATTTAATTTATGAAATAATATTTATATGATGTTACTCAATTTAAAATAAAAGAAAAATGATTTGACACCAGTAAATCATTAATTTGACAGTACCTAGATAATTTTCTTAAACGTAAGAAAAAATTATAAAAAGTAATGAAATATGACTACATTTTTGGCCAATTAGTTTTGTTTATTTTATTGTAATGCAGAAAATAATAACCATAGTGAAAAG